TATTACACAGTCTGTTGAATATTGGAGATGTCACGCGTCTAACTAAATTATATAGTGATTAAATGCTTTGAAAGGTTACGTAGTTATATATTATTATGTTACATTTTAGGGCCAGTACATACATACATAATCACGTCACTCTTCTTCCATGGGGAAGAAGCTTGGCAGAGACTGTGGAATGCCAATTGTTATGATTGTTAAATATTTCTTTCGCCTCATCAACAGTTTGTTTTGTTTTTTTGGGACAACTTGTCTGCGTTTCATGGTTCGCTGGCAAACACCGAGGGATTTTGATATTTTGTCAAGGACCAGGGTGCTTACCTACTCTTGAAACCAATTCCGATAGATCGACATTGGTATTGTGAAATTTCATATTCTTGAGTCGCAACACTAACGCCCATTGCATCCGTATTGTGTGGAAATTTAATTAACTAAATAATATTGAGTTAAAATGTATATTTATATTCGTACTTTGAATGCTATTTTAACAGCTACGATAGGGGTTGTATAGTTTTGAAATTAAATAATTATTGAGATTTTATTGGATTAAAATTGCGTTGACATTGAGATTGGTTTCCAGAGTAAGCACCCTAGATGAGGATGGGTAGAATACACACGTCCATAAGCTTCCTTTTCAGTGCTAATGGAAGATTGCTTTCAGTAGGTCGCCCATGGTCAAAAAGAGATGGTGGATTTAATTGGACGCCTATGAAAAGAATTGGCCACAAAAAGCTGTAAGAAGAGTGGGAGGAGGTTAGGGAGGTCTTTGCACTGCAGTGGGAATCTGAAATATTGATTAAAATGCATTTTTGATAACGCTAACTGTGATGCCCAAGCTGTCTGCTAAGGACGAGGATTAGGGCTAACTTTCAGTTAGGTAGAAGGTTTTTGTGTAGCTGTAGACTTCATTCAGATAATGATGATAACATAAGATCGTTCCCACAGTTGATCATCACCAGCATAGTAACCTTACCCTAATAACATTTACCTACTCTGTAGCGTTACCTAAGTATGCGAATTTATAAAAAATCTAGACTATAAACACGTCTAACAGTTTCAGTCTAGTTCAGCTCAAAGATATAAGAAATAGGGAGCTCTGCCAAAAAGAATAACATTAAATATTATGGACAAATACATTGTTGTTACAAAGCTACGTGGTTCGGCGGCCATTTTGAAATGTTATCAAGATGGCACCCGACATAACGGATATTATTTTAGGAAACATTGTCTGCGTTTCGGCTTCGTTTAAGTACTTTTAAAAATGTTATTACTGATTAGAAAATGTGTTTGTATTTATTTAAAATGTTTAGTTTTGTCTGCTCAGTTCTCTAATACTTAACTCGTCGAGTACCGGTTTTGTAGACACAATTATAGAACAATAGGTTGCGGTCACCGGTGACCGCTTGGTGTTTGACAGTTTAAGAGTGATAATTGCATATTTATATTAGCTTTAAGTGATTACTTTATTACATAGAATGTTGGTTAACCTATAATTAGTGACTGTATAAACCCAAAACTGATTGTTACCCACAGGGATATATTTTAATACTCTATATACAGAAACTTCGTTGGCCGGGTGGTCGCAAGAACGACTGCTGGGGTCGGGCAAAAGAAATACTAGTTTTTATTTTTAATTTCAGTAGTAGCACGGAGTCCGGAATTGTACCCGGTATATGGTAATAGTCTCACCCTATTATATTAGTCTCATAAAATAAATAGTGAAAAGTGGGTGTTACATTGTGCAGTGGCAGTAAATACAGTAATGTGAACCTCTGCCTACTCCTTAAGGGATGTAGTGTATACAGAAGCTGTAGGTTTAACTTTAATAAGTAAATAAATAAATAAAACGAAGAAATAATAGACCGGTTAGATAAGTAGAACAGAAGGCCGAATGTCGTGGTTTATAAATACTTAGTATTTTAATTTAGTTTTATATTCCATTGTTTCAAATTGTACTATTTATGATCACATTATTTTGTTTGAAATAGAATAATTATTTATTTGCTCAGAATGCAGGTATTTACAATAAATTGTTATTAAAGCACTACATTCTACCATTTTGGCATGCAAATATTGATGCAGGTTCATCATCATTAGTTTGACATATGCGTATTTAGTTATATACGTTACTAGCAGCCCGTCCCGGCTTCGCACGGCGTAGACAATTATTTATTTTTGGAAATTTGGATTGTTGTAGTGACATAACTACAATAGTTGGACATATGCTACTGCGGAGTTTTTTGTAGACGTTATGATGTTCTTCAATATTGTTGTACATTATTTTGTTATATCGCTAATAGTTTCGGCAGCGCATTCGACGAAAGACATTTTAAGACTCATTTTTCTACACCTTCGGTTATATTGTTCAAATTTTACCAAGGATCCCTAATTTTTTCAAAATGAAATGTAGCCTATGTCAGATTGGAAGAATGTAGCAATCTATTGGTGAAAGAATTTTTGAAATCGGCCCAGTACTTTTTGAGCCTATTCATTACAAACATACAAAAAGAGGTACAAATCTTTCCTCTTTATAAATCAGTATAGAAGTATAGATATAGATTGTGGTTTCATTCATTAAGTAAAAATTGCTGTCATGTAGTCATGTGTACATTTTCGAAGGTATCTATTACGTGTCTACAACTCGATACTCGTTTAATTGTAGCAGTAGTGCAGCCATGATGCAGAAACTATAGTGGATACAATAGAAACCTTTTTATTAAACCTCTTTGTTTTTTATTTGTAAATATCAGAGAATGCCTTAAGACATTAAGTCCGCTATTCATTGTAATCTTTTCTGAAGAAGAAATTAAATAAATAAATGTAAAGGACATTTGTCAAAAATTAATATTAAAACGTATTTCGAAGTGTAACAAAGACTTTACAAGAAAACGCATCAATATCGGTTTAGCCATAATAACATAACATCACGCCTTTTACCCCCGAAGGGGTAGGCAGAGGTGCACATTATACCACTGTGCAAAGTAACACCCTCTTTCCACTATTTATGTTATGAGTCCCATGTAATAGGGGGTGAGCTTATTGCCATATACCGGACACAATTCCCGACTCCGTGCTACTACTGAGAATTTTTTTAAAACCCAATAATACTTTTCTTAAAGTCGGTTAAATAACAGTATAATACAGTCACAATCAGAAAAGTCTTCATAAATTGAAAATCAAAGTAACCCCAAAACGACCGGTTTAACTGCAAATATTTAGTCGCAGTCAGGGGTCGTTGGTGCCTTTATATCTATTCGTAAACACTTTACTGCAGACGATTCGGTATCGTTGTTCAACGTTTACTACTCGCGCCGACACTGGCGGGAGAGGGGTTAATATTGTCATAATGTTGCCTAACAAACGCTTGAAGGTGCTCCCAGTTTAACGGATGGGGTTATTTTAGACGCGGGGTTATTTAATTGTCGGGGTTTTTTTGAGGTTTTGGGTATTTTTAGTAGGTGTTGTATATTTTTGTTAAGCGCTTACTATGTTCAGTTGGTGTATCGTTCTGGTTGAGTGGAACATAATGCCTTGTATGTAATGCATTCATTCCACACTTATCAGTTTATATGTACATATGTAACATACATAACATGTAAATATATTAATGACGGCAGAAATAAGATTTTTCATATCAATATCTTTGATGGATATAATAATTAATATGTTATGGTAATTACATATTTACACAATCAAAATTTAAATTAGATAGTTAAAAAGTGTGACGCCATTATAAAATCAATGCATAATCATAATATAATTATAATTAAGGCCACAACTATCGGTGCACAGCATAAAGTTAAATAATTAAAGTTAATTTCAAGAAATATATACCTATACTGACTTACTTTCTAAAAGTGTGTATGTTGTGATATTTCGGTTAAAAACATTGTATATTGGTGTTTATTTATTATTATTTCAATAAATATTACGAAAGCTTGTATGACTTTTGGTGCAAAAAACCTGATTGATTAAAACTAGGACGATAACTGTCGAGTAAGTGAAAGAGGTATGTAAGAATCGTTGTTCGTGGTAATTCGCATTCCATAGCCTCTATCTACCCCCATGGGAGACTGGGTTGAAGTTATGTATGCAGGTAATATAAATCGTGCGTAGGGCGCGTCGCATTCCCCGCACGCCTCAAAGAGCAGGGAAGATGCACGATATGGAGCCGCGGAAGGTTTAACGGGTTGCCGGGGCTCCAGCTCGAAGAGCAGGAGTAGGAACGGGGTGATTTTTAGTCAGTGAGAGTCTGCCCCTCCCTCTCGCCTAAGCCAAGGTGGGAGATGTCATTGGATGATTTTTTCACTTCAAAAAACTTAATAATTATGAATTCCAACCAGACGTTTTTATTCACCAGACTTGGTTAGAGAACTACTATTTTTCCTGTTCCAAGGAACACCACAGCCAGTTCTCGGTAACGACTTAATTATTTCATTACTAGGTACGTATTAGCGACATAAAGTTATGTAAATCATATTCTATTTGAACGGTACAATGGGCAGCTATCTTTGTATTATTATCTACTTTCGTAAGACTTAAATTTATTATAATAAATTAATTATTAATTGACGTTTGCGGCATCGTGAATCGCACAATGCTACTCATGAACACGAGCCCCTAGCGTAACTTGAAACTAGTCGAGTTCGTCAAACCGTTAAACATAATTATAATTATGAAGTATACAGCTTATCGGTATCTAGATCAAATAATTAATTAAAATGTCAACGACATTGTTACCAAACATGTTCCCTACACGCTATTATCAACATATAGACAGGTGAACGCGAAAGTAATTAATCCAAACTTTGATATCACTCGAAAAGAGGAAATGAAAAGAAAAGTTTGACGTAAAAATATCCTATACAGTGCGTAGAAAAGTTTTGGGGGAGGAGCGTATTGGCGCATGCGTCGTGCGGCCGCCGAAGAAATGCTTGGACGTCGCCGTCAACGACGTCCGAGCGACGCTGCGACCAAAGCAGTCGCCGCGATACCTCAGTGCTAGGCGGACGCGACCCAAATGCACCTCTGCATAACTTCACATATGTCGTAGTGAATACTTTCGTCGAAACTATTTTCCATCGTTCGGTAATAACATACAATATACTATTCAGTCATTTAAAAAACTTTTTAAGTTCGTAAAAGTTTCGCGAAGTAACAAAAAAGTTGGTTTGTTGAATGAAAATTCGTCTTTTGTTATTAAGTAATGGTTTCAAGTCATTATTGACAACTTTGGTTACTTTTGTACACTTTAAAATTAATCACAATGCTCGGCGATCTTCGAGATTTTTTTTTATTTATTTAGTTAAAGTTTATTTCTCTTAAAAACATCAAGAGCACAAGACGTAAGTACTGAATATTTTTTGCACTTATCATACAATGACAAATAAACTATGTACGACTCTTTCCCCCAGGTATTAAAGTTTAGTGTTGGACATTACAAGAAAAATGCCCTTAAACTAAAAAGCGTGATTTAAAAACAGTTATAAAATAAATCCTGCACATGTTCAAAAAACTGCTATCATTCCGCGAATCATTAAAATAAACTAAAAGTTTAAATGAACTCAGTGAAACTTTCATAAAATGATTCTTTAATTTTCAATAAATACTAAGATAAAGTGAATAACTACATACTCATATAAAAAACAAACTATAGTAATCAAGTACGTAAGTAAAATACAATCGGCCGTGTTCACTAGTTGAACAAATTATTATACTTTTTAACATTTTTATACCGTAATAGCAATTCTAACATTACATTTATAAAGTCTATTATAAATTACAACCACCTTTTCATGCCAAAACCTTCAAATTAATGAATAAACCTGTATTCAAGACACGAAATATAATTAAAATGCTTAGAAAGCATAGCGCAGTGATTCGAAACTCATTATCTTGTAAAACAGCTTAGGCAATACCTTTGAAATTATATCGAAACAAATGCCGTCGGAACCCTAATAATGACCCCAAAACGGGTTCTGCACACAGACTATGAACTATAACGACATATTCAATAACGCCTTCATAATGGCCGATTTTGTGCATAATCATTATTAAATACACAATACAAAATTATATATTCAATTTCTTTTCCATTCTAGTGGTTGCCTATAACAAGCGAAGTTTATTTTCTCATTGTTTTTTTATCAGTAGACAATTTTCTTATACAGTATGTGTGCTTACTTATATGGGTTGAATACAAATGTACGAGGAACGCTGTTACCCCTTTTTCCTTCAATGGACTGAGACTTCGCTATGAATCTGCATGAAACACTTTTTTGCGCATTTACGTAACTTTTCCATATGTTTTCTTACATGTCTTCTTTACTTAACTCTTTGAGTACTGTCATTATAGACACAATACCATCATCAGGTGATCCGTCTGCTCGTTTGCCTCCTATTCCATCAAAAAAAAACAATAGGTGTGCGGACACCGGTGTCCTCGCGGTTTTTGATAGTTTACTATTTGTGTAAAAGTTATAGATAAATTAGTAGATTTATATCAATTCTTAGGCGTAAATTGAAAATACGAAAAAGTAGTTTCTTATATCATAACAATATAGTTTGAATAAACTAGCTAGGAATTAAAATATGGCAACCAATTTTGCAATATCTTCTACGCACTGTCAATTTAATTTTTTATCAGTAATATTAATTTTGTTCCATTATAATTGGGAGCGAGCTTATTGCAGAACGCTGGTCACAATTCCGAAATGAAATCAGCATTATGACTGATTTTTTAATCAAATTATGAATAACAATTTGTTCATCTTAAGGTCAGAATCAGAGTTCGTGTTCAGCCAGTAGTCACAAAGTCATAATAGGCTTTTTTGATTTTCTTATATTTTATGATTGTAGTCTTTAACTTCATGATGGTCCAATGCTAGATTATCGGGATTCTTCTATAAAAGTTGGCCTGCCATAATCTCCATCAGTGGCGTAACCTAGCGTTCAGGGCCAGTGAGATATACATCGGATGGACTCTGTTTCTAATAAAAAACAGAAGTTCAGATGAAAACCTCTGAACGGGGGCTCCTTCTAGTTGAAGGCCCCTGGCATGTTTTCGACTTGCCACCCTGTAGTAACGCCACTGTACCATGCTAGTAGTAGCAGGCTGGAGATAACAATTTAAAAGACCCTGGTTTGTGAGAGAACGCTGTGGTCCAGGCTCCGTTAAATGTGTCACGTTCAATGTGTGTTAATGCTCTGTTAAAAGTCCCATAGTTCCCTTTTAGGAAGAGTAACGGTAATGATAATATTCATTTCAAGTTGCCGTTACCACATGGCTTAATATGTTTGATAGTTTTAGCTCTGGTTATAGTCATGTCATTGATATATTATCATTTACTATATGACATACTAACAGTTGTCAATAGAAAACTGTTGAAGGCAAATCCTCTGCTAACATCAGTCACCGCTGACCCCCACGGCGTTTAATGTGTTAACAACTATGGTTCAACTCTTTTGGAATGTAATATAATGTACCGTGGGCTGGTTAACTTACTGTCATATTTATTTATTACATTTTCAAATCTATCGTTTGGGTATAAAGTCGAAAATTCAATGACACTAATTAACACATTGGAGTAGGTCAATGTGCTAGCCACTGTACCTACATCGACTTCTTTGGTCGATATGCAATTAAGAAATTCAATATTCATTCAATGCAAATATAGTAGCTAGTAGAATTTGGCTGCATCAAATTACGTACACACGTACAATTAAGTACAACAATAGCGGCTGTGTCCATCTTCATTTTCTTACATACGTACCATTGACTGATGAACCAGTTCAAAATTTTGCACACAATTGAACCTTTAGCTCGCAGAAGACGCAATGTTTACGTATGAGGATAGAAACTGTGAATATAATCTTCCTTAAAGTTTGAAAGAAACCTTCATCATCATCAACAGCCTATAAATGCCCACTGCTGAGCAATGCCTCTTATCACACGGAGAAGGTTTGAGCATTAATCACCACGCTTGCTCAATGAGAGTTGCTGATTTCAAACTTATAATTTAAAATTATAAGCCTAGGTTTCCTCACGATGTTTTCCTTCACTGAATGCCAGTGGTGTCTGAATAATCGTAGAAAGTACCTACAAATAACTCGGAAAAAGTCACATTGGTACTTGCCGTTGGTATATTATATTGCATGAGAAGTGGGCGTCTTAAACCTCCGGGCCACCACTAAGAAAGAAACCTTAGCAAATAGTTATATAGCAAAGTTAAACTAGAATGTTTTAGGATTAAAACATAATATGTCATATTATGTCAAAAGTATTATATCTCTTTTTGTTACAATAAGGTAGTTTCCTAAATTTGATTCTAATGTCTGTCTGGTAGATTAGTTTAAAACATTAAACACGTATTTTTGCTTTTCTCACAAAATTTTATCCACGAAGGGGTAGGCAGAGGTGCACATTGCGGCACTTAATGCCACTGTACAATGTAACACCCACAATGAGTCCCATGTAAGAGGGGGTAAGCCAATTGCCATATACCGGGCACAATTCCAGACTGTGCTACTACTGAGAATTAAAAAAAAACCCAGTAATACTTTGCCCGACCCGGGAATCAGTGAGGCAGCCATAATAATAAAAACATGTTATGAATAATGAACAAAGCATACAAAAGTTTCGAGTTCTCTCTGATAAAACCCGAGATTTTTCCGTTTGATTTTAATATTATTAAACCAGTTATAAACATCACAACACAGTACAGATGACAAAACTAAAGTTACGCCACAGTCCCAAAAAATAACAATAAGAATTAACCCCATAATTTAAAAAAACCAAACATTTTCTTATGAAATCGGTTTCGTAAATAATAAATATGAAACTTAAACCCAGCAAGGGTGTATGTAATATTATTTTATCGTTGGAATCGTAATAGTGGGCGGTAAGCACTTTGAATAAATTGGTTATCAAAAGACCGTGTGGCTGACCGGAATCGTGGCTCAGTATCTTTGCTGATATTCTGTGTTGAGGCCTCGAAGTCAATATTTACAATGATGCTTTTGACTGCCTCGTTGGCCGAATGGTCGCAAGTGCGACTGCCGGTCAAGGGTCTCGGGTTCGATTCCCGGATCGGGCAAAGTACTACTGGGTAGTAGCACGGAATCTGGAATTGTGCCCGGCATATGAAAATAGGCTCACCCCCTATTACATGGGACTCATAACATAAATAGTGAAAAGTGGGTGTTACATTATACAGTGGCATAATGTGCACCTCTGCCTACCTCTTCGGGGATAAGAGGCGTGATGTTATGTTATGTTGTTGCTTTTGAAATACGATGCATTTTTGAACAGCTGGATCATTTTTGTACTTGTATGTTTGAACCTCTGAAAATTCGCTTCGTTTGTAGGTCATCAACAACCATCATCAAGTCAGCAAAACACATACACTGTTGAACGTAACTCTTCACTCAATGTTTTTAACCGACTTTAAAAAAGTAGGTTCTCAGTTTAATCTGTAGGTATGTATGTTTGTGCGTTTTGCCAATCTTGCGATTGGCTGAATCGATTTCCAAAAAAGTAAGTATTTGCTACACTTAGGAAATGGTTTTAGTAAGTATATCAATTAAATGACTTCAAAGAAGAGGAGGTTGAAGTCGGTTTTTTGAAACGTAGTTTATATTCATATATTTTATAATTGTCTTTTATTTATCGTCGTTATTTAGTGTATGTTGGTGGTACGTACACAGAATTTTTTAAAGATAAAGATAGTTTATTAGTAAATATGGGTAATACAACATGTGGTGTTTAGGTACATTGCGAGCTCAACCATATTTTACCAGGAGGCATGAAAATATGAATTAACGAAGTATTTAAAATCAAATTTAAAAATTCCAATTTAAATTATATAAAAGAAAATCAATATTGTGCTATGTATTTATTAAATTGAATACAGAAATTAAAATATTACATTATTGTCACATTAACAGAATATAGGTATAATTTCAAAAGGTTATATTGTGTATTCAACTATCTATTCCAAGTTCTGATGGTAATTCTATAATTGGATTTCTCCAAAATATAAGAATACATAGCATCTATAAATTCGGAGTGTACAACCTGGATGTCTTCA